TGGTGATGGGGATTATGACTTCCATGGGTCAATGGCTCCATGGGTCAATGTCTCCATGGGTCAATGGTTCCATGGGTCAATGTCTCCATGGGTCAATGTCTCCATGGGTCAATGTCTCCATGGGTCCCTGGTTCCATGGGTCAATGTCTCCATGGGTCAATGTCTCCATGGGTCCCTGGCTCCATGGGTCAATGGTTCCATGGGTCAATGTCTCCATGGGTCAATGTCTCCATGGGTCAATGTCTCCATGGGTCCCTGGCTCCATGGGTCAATGTCTCCATGGGTCAATGTCTCCATGGGTCCCTGGTTCCATGGGTCCCTGGTTCCATGGGTCCCTGGCTCCATGGGTCAATGTCTCCATGGGTCCCTGGTTCCATGGGTCCCTGGCTCCATGGGTCAATGTCTCCATGGGTCAATGTCTCCATGGGTCAATGTCTCCATGGGTCCCTGGCTCCATGGGTCAATGGCTCCATGGGTCCCTGGCTCCATGGGTCAATGTCTCCATGGGTCAATGGCTCCATGGGTCAATGTCTCCATGGGTCAATGTCTCCATGGGTCCCTGGCTCCATGGGTCAATGTCTCCATGGGTCAATGTCTCCATGGGTCAATGTCTCCATGGGTCAATGTCTCCATGGGTCCCTGGCTCCATGGGTCAATGTCTCCATGGGTCAATGTCTCCATGGGTCCCTGGCTCCATGGGTCAATGTCTCCATGGGTCAATGTCTCCATGGGTCAATGTCTCCATGGGTCCCTGGCTCCATGGGTCAATGTCTCCATGGGTCAATGTCTCCATGGGTCCCTGGTTCCATGGGTCAATGTCTCCATGGGTCAATGTCTCCATGGGTCCCTGGCTCCATGGGTCAATGTCTCCATGGGTCAATGTCTCCATGGGTCCCTGGTTCCATGGGTCAATGGTTCCATGGGTCAATGGTTCCATGGGTCAATGTCTCCATGGGTCAATGGTTCCATGGGTCAATGTCTCCATGGGTCAATGTCTCCATGGGTCAATGTCTCCATGGGTCCCTGGTTCCATGGGTCAATGTCTCCATGGGTCAATGTCTCCATGGGTCAATGTCTCCATGGGTCCCTGGCTCCATGGGTCAATGTCTCCATGGGTCCCTTGCCCCATGGGTCAATGTCTCCATGGGTCAATGTCTCCATGGGTCAATGTCTCCATGGGTCAATGTCTCCATGGGTCAATGGTTCCATGGGTCAATGTCTCCATGGGTCAATGTCTCCATGGGTCCCTGGCTCCATGGGTCAATGTCTCCATGGGTCAATGTCTCCATGGGTCAATGTCTCCATGGGTCAATGGTTCCATGGGTCAATGTCTCCATGGGTCAATGTCTCCATGGGTCAATGTCTCCATGGGTCCCTGGCTCCATGGGTCAATGTCTCCATGGGTCAATGTCTCCATGGGTCAATGTCTCCATGGGTCAATGGTTCCATGGGTCAATGTCTCCATGGGTCAATGTCTCCATGGGTCCCTGGCTCCATGGGTCAATGTCTCCATGGGTCAATGTCTCCATGGGTCAATGTCTCCATGGGTCAATGGCCCCATGGGTCAATGTCTCCATGGGTCCCTGTCTCCATGGGTCAATGGTTCCATGGGTCAATGGCCCCATGGGTCAATGTCTCCATGGGTCCCTGGTTCCATGGGTCAATGTCTCCATGGGTCAATGTCTCCATGGGTCAATGTCTCCATGGGTCAATGTCTCCATGGGTCAATGTCTCCATGGGTCAATGTCTCCATGGGTCAATGTCTCCATGGGTCCCTGCGCCCCCCATGTCCCCCCCAGGCCCTGCTCGTGTTCGTGGCTCTCTCCCTGTGCCGGGATGAGCTCCGCTGGCTCCTGCTTCACTGCGGGGGGGGGGCTCGGGGCAAGGCCCCGGAGGAGCCCCCGGACGGGTAAGGACCGGGCCCCCCCTCCCCCCCCCTGCCCCCCAACCTCCCCCCAGTGCCCCCCAAGTGTGGGGCTGGCGCTGAGCGGGCTCTGCCCCAGGCGGGTCCCCGAGCTCCTGCTCCTGGTGCTGCGGCTGCGGGCGCTGGTGCGGGGCCACGCGGGGCTCCTGCGGCGCCACCACGGGGGGGTCCTGGCGCGCTGCGAGGCCCCGCGGATCAGCGACATCGTCCAGGTGGGGGAGGGGGGGGCGCTCCCATCCCCAACCCCACCCCCACCCCCCCCATCCCATCCCCCCCCCATCCCCCTCCATCCCCATCCTCAACCCCACCCCCACCCCCATCCCATTCAACCCCCATCCCCCCCCAACCCCACCCCATCCCATCCCCATTCCCCCCCCCCACATTCCCCCCATCCCCATCCCAACCCCACCCCTGCCCAATCCCCACCCCCCCCTCATCCCCATCCCCACCCCCCCACCGCTGCCCCATCCCCACCCCAATCGCCCCCCCCATCCCATTCAACCCCCATCCCCCCCCCATCCCCCTCCACCCCCACCCCATCCCCACCTCACCCCCCCCACCCCCATCCCCACCCCATCCTCAACCCCACCCCCACCCCCATCCCATTCAACCTCCATCCCCCCCCACCCCCACCCCATCCCCATCCCATCCCCATTCCCCCCCCATTCCCCCCCATCCCAACCCCACCCATGCCCCATCCCCACCCCACCCCCCCCATCCCCATCCCCACCCCCACCCCATCCCATCCCCCCCCATCCCCATCCCAACCCCACCCCCACCCCTGCCCCATACCCACCCCCCCCATCCCCCCCCACCCCCACCCCATCCCATCCCCATCCCCCCCCATCCCAACCCCACCCCCACCCCTGCTCCATCCCATCCCCATCCCCATACCCACCCCCCCCATCCCAACCCCATCCCCACCCCCACCCCCACCCCCATCCCATTCAACCCCCATCCCCCCCCATCCCGATCCCATTCCCGTTTCCCCAGGACCTCTCTGTGTGTCCCGAGGAGGAATCCCTCATCCTCTCGTCCTTCGTCACCTCCCTCTCGGCGCTCCCACTTCATGACAGTATGGACCCCATTGTGCCCCATATGGACCCCATTGTACCCCATATGGACCCCATTGTGCCCCCATATGGACCCCATTGTGCCCCATATGGACCCCATTGTGCCCCCATATGGACCCCATTGTGCCCCATATGGACCCCATTGTGCCCCATATGGACCCCATTGTGCCCCCATATGGACCCCACTGTGCCCCATATGGACCCCATTGTGCCCCGATATGGACCCCATTGTGCCCCATATGGACCCCATTGTGCCCCCCATATGGACCCCATTGTGCCCCATATGGACCCCATTGTGCCCCATATGGACCCCACTGTGCCCCATATGGACCCCATTGTGCCCCATATGGACCCCACTGTGCCCCCCATATGGACCCCACTGTGCCCCGTATGGACCCCATTGTGCCCCCATATGGACCCCACTGTGCCCCCATATGGACCCCATTGTGCCCCCCATATGGACCCCACTGTGCCCCATATGGACCCCATTGTGCCCCCCATATGGACCCCACTGTGCCCCATATGGACCCCATTGTGCCCCATATGGACCCCACTGTGCCCCATATGGACCCCATTGTGCCCCATATGGACCCCACTGTGCCCCATATGGACCCCACTGTGCCCCATATGGACCCCATTGTGCCCCCATATGGACCCCACTGTGCCCCATATGGACCCCATTGTGCCCCCATATGGACCCCATTGTGCCCCCATATGGACCCCACTGTGCCCCCATATGGACCCCATTGTGCCCCCATATGGACCCCATTGTGCCCCCATATGGACCCCACTGTGCCCCCCATATGGACCCCATTGTGCCCCATATGGACCCCATTGTGCCCCCCATATGGACCCCATTGTGCTCCATATGGACCCCATTGTGCCCCATATGGACCCCATTGTGCCCCCCATATGGACCCCATTGTGCCCCCCATATGGACCCCATTGTGCCCCATATGGACCCCATTGTGCCCCCCATATGGACCCCATTGTGCCCCATATGGACCCCATTGTGCCCCCCATATGGACCCCATTGTGCCCCATATGGACCCCATTGTGCCCCCATATGGACCCCACTGTGCCCCATATGGACCCCATTGTGCCCCATATGGACCCCATTGTGCCCCCCATATGGACCCCATTGTGCCCCATATGGACCCCATTGTGCCCCCATATGGACCCCATTGTGCCCCATATGGACCCCATTGTGCCTCATATGGACCCCATTGTGCCCCATATGGACCCCATTGTGCCCCCATATGGACCCCATTGTGCCCCATATGGACCCCATTGTGCCCCCATATGGACCCCACTGTGCCCCATATGGACCCCATTGTGCCCCCATATGGACCCCATTGTGCCCTCATATGGACCCCATTGTGCCCCATATGGACCCCATTGTGCCCCATATGGACCCCATTGTGCCCCCATATGGACCCCATTGTGCCCCCCGGACCGATGCCCCCCCAGCCCTGCCTGGGCCCTGATGTCCCCCTGTTTCCCCCCAGTCGATGACCAGGAGCACTTTGACTTCACCGCGCTCCGCCTGGATTGGTTCCGGCTCCAGGTGCTGGCCCCGGCCCTCTCCTTGGCCCTGGCCCCATCCCCATCCTTGATCCCATCCCCATCCCCATCCTTGATCCCATCCCCATCCTTGATCCCATCCCCATCCTTGATCCCATCCCCATCCTTGATTCCATCCCCATCCTTGATCCCATCCCCATCCTTGATCCCATCCCCATCCTTGATTCCATCCCCATCCTTGATCCCATCCCCATCCTTGATCCCATCCCCATCCTTGATCCCATCCCCCATCCCCATCCTTGTTCCCATCCCCATCCTTGATCCCATCCCCATCCTTGATCCCATCCCCATCCTTGATTCCATCCCCATCCTTGATCCCATCCCCATCCTTGATCCCATCCCCATCCTTGATTCCATCCCCATCCTTGATCCCATCCCCATCCTTGATCCCATCCCCATCCTTGATTCCATCCCCATCCTTGATTCCATCCATATCCCCATCCCTGGCCCCGGCCCCATCCCCATCCTTGATCCCATCCCCATCCTTGATCCCATCCCCATCCTTGATCCCATCCCCATCCTTGATTCCATCCATATCCCCATCCCTTTCCCTCTCCTTGTCCCTTTCCCCATCCCAATCTCCATCCTTGTCCCATCCCCGTTCCCATTCCCACCCCCATCCTTGTTCCCATCCCCATTGCAATCCCCGTCCTTGCCCCATCTGCATCCCCATCCCCTTCCTCTCCCCATCCGTGTCCCTCTCCTTGTCCCATCCCCACCCCATCCCCATCCTTGTTCCCATCCCCATCCCAACCCTATCCCATCCCGTTCCTCTCTCCCCATCCCCATCCCCATCCCCATCCCCATCCCATCCCCACCCCATCCCCACCCCATCCCCACCCCATCCCCATCCCCCCCATCCCCATCCCCACCCCATCCCCACCTCATCCCCATTCCCATCCCCATCCCCATCCCCATCCCCATCCCATTCCCATCCCCACCCCATCCCCATCCCCATCCCCATCCCCATCCCCATCCCCATCCCATCCCCATCTCCATCCCCATCCATCCCCATCCCCATCCATTACTGTCCCCTTTCCTGCACCCATCCCCATCCCCATCCCCATCCCCATCCCCACCCCCACCCCATCCCCACCCCATCCCCATCCCATCCCATCCCCATCCCATCCCATCCCCACCCCCATCCTTGTCCCATCCCCATCCCACCCCCATGTCCCTCTCCCCCCAGGCCTACACGAGCGTTGCGGGGGCCGCGGTGCCGCGGGGCTGCGTTGCGGCCGTGGCTCGGGCCATGAACCCCATCGTGTTCCGCACCAAGCTCCTGGACTCCCTGCCCCAGCTCCTGGACGAGGTCTCCGACCTCTCCGACCTCTGGTGAGCCCCATAGCGGGGGTGGGGTGGGGGCCCCACCGCCTCCTGCCCCATGGATGGGGCCCCACCGCCTCCTGCCCCATGGATGGGGCCCGCGGGGGGCGGGATGCGGGTGGTACCCAGGGGAGAGGGAGGGCGCCATGGGGAGAGTGATGGGGAACGGGGGCACGGGGGTGACAGATCCCAGCTCCTGCCCCGTTCCTGACCCATTCCTGACCCATTCCTGACCCATTCCTGACCCATTCCTGACCCATTCCTGCCCCGTTCCTGCCCCATTCCTGCCCCATTCCTGCCCCCATTCCTGCCCTGTTCCTGACCCATTCCTGCCCCATTCCTGCCCCGTTCCTGCCCCATTCCTGCCCCATTCCTGCCCCGTTCCTGACCCATTCCTGACCCGTTCCTGACCCATTCCTGCCCCATTCCTGACCCATTCCTGACCCGTTCCTGCCCCATTCCTGCCCCATTCCTGCCCCATTCCTGACCCATTCCTGCCCCATTCCTGCCCCATTCCTGACCCCATTCCTGACCCATTCCTGACCCGTTCCTGCCCCATTCCTGCCCCATTCCTGCCCCATTCCTGACCCATTCCTGCCCCATTCCTGCCCCATTCCTGACCCATTCCTGACCCATTTGCCCCATTCCTGCCCCTTCTCCTGCCCCATTCCTGCCCCATTTGCCCCTTCTCCTGCCCCATTCCTGCCCCGTTCCTGACCCATTCCTTCCCCATTCCTGCCTTTTCCCCATTCCTGTCCCATTCCTGACCCATTCCTGCCCCATCTCCTGCCCCATTCTGCCCTGTTCCTGACCCTTCTGCCCCATTCCTGCCCCATTTGCCCCATTCCTGTCCTATCTCCTGCCCCATTCCTGCCTCATTTGCCCCTTCTCCTGCCCCATTCCTGCTCCATCTCCTGCCCCATTCCTGCTTCATCTCCTGCCCCATTCCTGCCCCTTTTCTGCCCCTTCTCTTGCCCCGTTCCTGCCCCATCTCCTGCCCCATTCCTGTCCCATTCCTGCCCCATCTCCTGTCCCATTTCTACCCCATCCCTGCCCCTTCTCCCACCCCATTCCCACCCCATTCCTGCCCCATCCCTGCCCCATCTCCCACCCCATTCCCACCCCATTCCTGCCCCATCTCCCACCCCATTCCCACCCCATTCCTGCCCCATCTCCCACCCCATTCCCACCCCATTCCTTCCTCCCCCTTTGCAGCTTCTTTCCTCGCCCCATGGAGAAGATGTTCCTGTCCACGCTGGAGGAGCCCTCGATGCTCCGCTACAGCATCGCCTTCCCCTTGCTCTGCAGCCACTTCTCCCACTGCCTCCACCCCATGTGCCCCGAGGAGGTGGGATCCTGCCCATGGGGATGCTATGGGGGGGGGGGGGGGGTGTCCGGACCCACATCCCACTCTGGACCCATACCTCTGCCATTGCAGTATCCCCACCTGAAGGCAGCAGCCCTAGGGATGTGCAATAGGTACCTGGAGGAGATGGCTCGCCGGGCCAGCTCCTGCATCCTGGATGCTTGTGCTGAGCAGCACAGGCTCAGCGAGCAGGTGGGGCCAGCAGCACCCTTGGGGGCTCCCTGGGCCCTTCGGGACCATGGGATCGGGGGCCGGGTGTTGGGAAGAGCCTCAAAGCTCCTCCTGTTCTATGGGGCAGGGATGGGGCATCCAAAGCTGCTCCGGCCAAGCCCTTCCTCGGGGCTCCAGGGTGTCCACGGCCTTTGGGGGCTCTGCGTTCTCTTGTCCCCATCCATCCTTGTCCCTGTTCTTGTCCCCATCCATCCTTGTCCCTGTTCTTGTCCCCATCCCCATCTCTTGTTCCCATCCATCCTTGTCCCTGTTCTTGTCCCCATCCCCATCTCTTGTTCCCATCCATCCTTGTCCCTGTTCTTGTCCACATCCCCATCTCTTGTTCCCATCCATCCTTGTCCCTGTTCTTGTCCCCATCCCCATCTCTTGTTCCCATCCATCCTTGTCCCTGTTCTTGTCCCCATCCCCATCTCTTGTCCCCATCCATCCCTGTCCCCATCCTTGTTCCCATCCATCCTTGTCCCTGTTCTTGTCCCCATCCATCCTTGTCCCTGTTCTTGTCCCCATCCCCATCTCCTTGTTCCCATCCATCCTTGTTCCTGTTTGGGCCCCATCCATCCTTGTTCCCATCCATCCTTGTCCCCATCCTTGTTCCCATCCATCCTTGTCCCCATCCTTGTCCCCATCCTTGTTCCCATCCATCCTTGTCCCCATCCTTGTTCCCATCCATCCTTGTCCCCATCCTTGTCCCCATCCTTGTTCCCATCCTTGTTCCCATCCATCCTTGTCCCCATCCCTGTCCCCATCCATCCCTGTCCCCATTCTTGTTCCCATCCATCCTTGTCCCCATCCTTCCCCCATCCCCATCTTTGTCTCCATCCCTATCCCCATCCATCCTTATCCCTATTCTTGTCCCCATCCATCCTTGTCCCTGTCCTCATCCCCATTCTCATCCTTGTCCCCATCCATCCCTGTCCCCATTCTTGTTCCCATCTATCCCTGTCCCCATCCTTGCCCCCATCCCCATCTTAGTCTCCATCCCTGTCCCCATCCATCCTTGTCCCTGTTCTTGTCCCCATCCTCATCCCCATCTCTTGTTCCCATCCATCCTTATCCCTATTCTTGCCCCCATCAATCCTTGTCTCCATCCTTGCCCCCATCCCTGTCTCCATCCATCCTTGTCCCTGTCCTTATCCCCATTCCCATCCCTGTCCCCATCCATCCTTGTCCCCATTTTCTTGTTCCCATCCATCCCTGTCCCCATCCATCCTTATCCCTATTCTTGTCTCCATCCATCCTTGTCCCTGTCCTTATCCCCATTCCCATCCTTGTCCCTATCCATCCCTGTCCCCATCCATCCTTGTTCCCATTTTCTTGTTCCCATCCATCCCTGTCCTCATCCATCCTTATCCCTATTCTTGTCTCCATCCATCCTTGTCCCTGTCCTTATCCCCATTCCCATCCCTGTCCCCATCCATCCTTATCTCTGTTCTTGTCCCCATCCATCCTTGTCCCTGTCCTTATCCCCATTCCCATCCTTGTCCCCATCCATCCCTGTCCCCATCCATCCTTGTCCCCATCCTCTTCCCCATCTCCTTGTCCCCATCCCCATCCTTATCCCTATTCTCTCCCCCATCCATCCTTGTCCCCATCTTGTTCCCATCCATCCCTGTCCCCATCCATCCTTATCCCTATTCTTGTCTCCATCCATCCTTGTCCCTGTCCTTATCCCCATTCCCATCCTTGTCCCCATCCATCCCTGTCCCCATCCATCCCCATCCTTATCCCTGTTCTCTCCCCCATCCCTCTCCCCATCCTTGCATCCTCCTGGAGCCCCGTGCTCCCCATGGCGATAGCGATGGGTGGGAAGGGGGCAGGACCTGGAGGTCCCGTTTGGGGTCTGCCCTCTGTAACCCTGCCCCACATCCCCCAGCTGCTGCCCAAGCACTGCGCCTCCACCCTCAGCAAGGCCCGGGGCAAGCAGAGCCTCAAGCAAGGAGCCAAGAAAGGGGAGAGCGAGAGGGAGAAACCCGGGGCTGAGAGCCAGAGGAGGGACCGGAGCCTGAGCACCAAGTGAGGGGCACCGGGGGGCAAGGGAGGGGTGGAGGGGATGGAGGGGATGGAGAGGGGATGGTGGGTACCAGACATTGGGGATGGAGAGGGGATGGAGAGGGGATGGAGAGGGGATGGAGAGGGGGTGGAGAGGGGATGGTGGGTACCAGGCACAGGGGATGGAGAGGGGATGGAGAGGGGATGGAGAGGGGATGGAGAGGGGATGGAGTGGGGATGGAGAGGGGATGGAGAGGGGATGGAGTGGGGATGGAGAGAGGATGGAGAGGGGATGGAGAGAGGATGGAGAGGGGATGGAGAGGGGATGGAGTGGGGATGGAGAGGGGATGGAGAGGGGATGGAGTGGGGATGGAGAGAGGATGGAGAGGGGATGGAGAGGGGATGGAGAGGGGATGGAGTGGGGATGGAGAGAGGATGGAGAGGGGATGGAGAGGGGATGGAGTGGGGATGGAGAGGGGATGGAGAGGGGATGGAGTGGGGATGGAGAGAGGATGGAGAGGGGATGGAGAGGGGATGGAGAGGGGATGGAGAGAGGATGGAGAGGGGGTGGAGAGGGGATGGAGAGAGGATGGAGAGGGGATGGTGGGTACCAGGCACAGGGGATGGAGAGGGGATGGAGAGGGGATGGAGAGGGGATGGAGAGGGGATGGAGAGAGGATGGAGAGGGGATGGTGGGTACCAGACATTGGGGATGGAGAGGAGCTGATGGGTACCAGACATTGGGGATGGAGAGGGGATGGTGGGTACCAGGCACAGGGGATGGAGAGGAGCTGATGGGTACCAGACATTGGGGATGGAGAGGGGATGGTGGGTACCAGGCACTGGGGATGGAGAGGGGATGGTGGGTACCAGACATTGGGGATGGAGAGGAGCTGATGGGTACCAGACATTGGGGATGGAGAGGGGATGGTGGGTACCAGACACTGGGGATGGAGAGGGGATGGTGGGTACCAGACATTGGGGATGGAGAGGAGCTGATGGGTACCAGACATTGGGGATGGAGAGGGGATGGTGGGTACCAGACATTGGGGATGGAGAGGGGATGGTGGGTACCAGGCACTGGGGATGGAGAGGAGCTGATGGGTACCAGACATTGGGGATGGAGAGGGGATGGTGGGTACCAGACATTGGGGATGGAGAGGGGATGGTGGGTACCAGACATTGGGGATGGAGAGGAGCTGATGGGTACCAGACATTGGGGATGGAGAGGGGATGGTTGATGGTGGGTACCAGACATTGGGGATGACCGCTTGGTGCCGTGAGGCCCTGCGGTGCCCATGGGGCTGTGCCATGGGGCTGTGCCCATGGGGCTGTGTCATGGGGCTGTGCCATGGGGCTGTGCCATGGGGCTGCACCATGGGGCTGTGCCCATGGGGCTGTGCCATGGGGCTGTGCCATGGGGCTGTGCCCATGGGGCTGTGTCATGGGGCTGTGCCATGGGCTGTGTCATGGGGCTGTGCCCATGGGGCTGTGCCATGGGGCTGTGCCATGGGGCTGTGTCAGGGGCTGTGCCATGGGGCTGTGCCATGGGGCTGTGTCATGGGGCTGTGTCATGGGGCTGTGCCATGGGGCTGTGTCATGGGGCTGTGCCATGGGGCTGTGTCATGGGGCTGTGCCCATGGGGCTGTGCCATGGGGCTGTGCCATGGGGCTGTGTCCATGGGGCTGTGCCATGGGCTGTGCCATGGGGCTGTGTCATGGGGCTGTGCCATGGGGCTGTGCCATGGGGCTGTGTCATGGGGCTGTGCCCATGGGGCTGTGCCATGGGGCTGTGCCATGGGGCTGTCCGTGCCCCACGGCTCCTGTCCCCCCCCCAGCCTGGACAAACTGCACCAGGCCCTGTCCGAGCTGTCCCGGAGCTTCGGCCACGCGCCCGCCTTCAGCGTCTTCGAGCACACGGTGACCCCGGGGGAGTACCTGGGCCGGCACCTGGAGACCCGGCTCAGCCGGTGGGGACCCAACCATGGCAGGGGGGGGACCCCAACTGCGGCCCTTGGGCATCCCCATCCCACCCATCCCCATCCCGATCCTGATCCTGATCCCATCCCCATCCCCACCCCATCCCCACCCATCCCCATCCCCATCCCCATCCCATCCCCACCCATCCCCATCCCATCCCCATCCCATCCCCACCCATCCCCATCCCCATCCCCATCCCATCCCCATCCCCACCCCATCCCATCCCCATCCCCATCCCCACCCATCCCCACCCCATCCCATCCCCATCCCATCCCCACCCATCCCCATCCCCATCCCCACCCATCCCCATCCCCATCCCATCCCCACCCCATCCCCATCCCATCCCCACCCCATCCCCACCCCATCCCCATCCCCATCCCATCCCCACCCATCCCCACCCATCCCCATCCCCATCCCATCCCCCCCCACCCCATCCCCATCCCATCCCCATACCCACCCATCCCATCCCCACCCATCCCCACCCCATCCCCATCCCATCCCCACAGAGCCATCGTGGCCCTGGCAGGCTACAACCAGAGCCCCCATGCTGTGACCCGGCCCTCGGAGGTCCTGGCTGGGCTCCGCTCCTACGTGGGCTCCATCCAGACGTGGGGCCGGGCGCTGGGCTTGGACCCGGGGCGCCTCATCCGCAGCGTCCTCCTGCAGCAGACCCAGCCCCGCGATGGGGCCGGCGAGCCCACGCTCACCTCCATCTACACCAACTGGTGGGTCCTGCCCCATGTCTGTGGGTCCTGCCCCATGTCTGTGGGTCCTGCCCCATGTCTGTGGGTCCTGCCCCATGCCTGTGGGTCCTGCCCCATGTCCTGTGGGTCCTGCCCCATGTCTGTGGGTCCTGCCCCATGTCCTGTGGGTCCTGCCCCATGCCTGTGGGTCCTGCCCCATGTCTGTGGGTCCTGCCCCATTCCTTGTGGGTCCTGCCCCATGTCTGTGGGTCCTGCCCCATGTCTGTGGGTCCTGCCCCATGTCTGTGGGTCCTGCCCCATGTCCTGTGGGTCCTGCCCCATGTCTGTGGGTCCTGCCCCATTCCTTGTGGGTCCTGCCCCATGTCTGTGGGTCCTGCCCCATGTCTGTGGGTCCTGCCCCATGCCCTGTGGGTCCTGCCCCATGTCTGTGGGTCCTGCCCCATGTCCTGTGGGTCCTGCCCCATGCCTGTGGGTCCTGCCCCATGCCTGTGGGTCCTGCCCCATGTCTGTGGGTCCTGCCCCATGCCTGTGGGTCCTGCCCCATGTCTGTGGGTCCTGCCCCATGCCTGTGGGTCCTGCCCCATGTCTGTGGGTCCTGCCCCATGCCTGTGGGTCCTGCCCCATGTCCTGTGGGTCCTGCCCCATGCCTGTGGGTCCTGCCCCATGTCTGTGGGTCCTGCCCCATTCCTTGTGGGTCCTGCCCCATGCCTGTGGGTCCTGCCCCATGCCTGTGGGTCCTGCCCCATGTCTGTGGGTCCTGCCCCATTCCTTGTGGGTCCTGCCCCATGTCTGTGGGTCCTGCCCCATTCCTTGTGGGTCCTGCCCCATGTCTGTGGGTCCTGCCCCATGTCCTGTGGGTCCTGCCCCATGTCTGTGGGTCCTGCCCCATTCCTTGTGGGTCCTGCCCCATGTCTGTGGGTCCTGCCCCATTCCTTGTGGGTCCTGCCCCATGCCTGTGGGTCCTGCCCCATGTCTGTGGGTCCTGCCCCATGCCCTGTGGGTCCTGCCCCATGCCCTGTGGGTCCTGCCCCATGTCTGTGGGTCCTGCCCCATGTCTGTGGGTCCTGCCCCATGTCCTGTGGGTCCTGCCCCATGCCTGTGGGTCCTGCCCCATGTCCTGTGGGTCCTGCCCCATTCCTTGTGGAATTCCGCACCCCCCTTGCAGGTACCTGGAGGCTCTGCTGCGCCAGGCCAGCACCGGCGCCGTGCTCCTGGCCCCCTCCATGCAGGCGTTCACCGTGGGGCAGGGCCGGGGGGACCCCGGCTTCGACCCTGCCGAGTTCTCGGATGTGACCGGTGCGGGGATGGGGGGGGGGGGGCATCGCCCCATGGATGCGCGGTGATCTCCCCATCCTTGTTCCATCCATCCCTGGCCCCATCCCTGGCCCCATCCATCCTTTCCTCACCTCCTTGTCCCCATCCATCCCCATCCTCATTCTCATCTCCATCCATTATTGTCCCCTTTCCTGTACCCATCCCAATCCCCATCCCCATCCTCATCCTCATCCCCATCCCCATCCCTGTCCCCATTGTTGTTCCCATCCATCCCTGTCCCCATCCCTGTCCCCATTGTCCCCATCCATCCCCATCCCCATCCCCATCCATCCCCATCCATTATTGTCCCTTTTCCTGTACCCATCCCCATCCATCCTTGTCCCCATCCCCATCCATCCCCATCCATTATTGTCCCCTTTCCTGCACCCATCCCCATCCATCCCCATCCCCATGTCCATCCCCATGTCCATCCCCATCCCCATCCATTACTGTCCCCTTTCCTGTACCCATCCCCATCCCCATCCATCCCCATCCATCCCCATCCATCCCCATCCATCCCCATCCCCATCCCCATCCCCATCCCCATCCCCATCCCCATCCATCCCCATCCCCATCCCCATCCCCATCCATCCCCATCCCCATCCCATCCCCATCCCCATCCCCATCCCCATCCCCATCCCCATCCCCATCCCCATCCCATCCCCATCCCCATCCCCATCCCCATCCATCCCCATCCCCATCCCCATCCCCATCCCCATCCCCATCCCCATCCATCCCCATCCCCATCCATCCCCATCCCCATCCCCATCCCCATCCATCCCCATCCATCCCCATCCATTACTGTCCCCTTTCCTGCACCCATTCCCATCCATCCTTGTCCGTGTCTCTCCCCCCCCAGAGATGCGGGCCCTCGCCGAGCTCCTGGGTCCCTACGGGATGCAGTTCCTGAGCGCCAACCTGCTGTGGCACGTGGGCTCGCAGCTCTCCGAGCTCCAGGTGGGGCTGGGTCCCGCCGCCGGGGCCGGGGCCGGCTCCGGAGGGGCGGCGGGAGCGGCGCGGTGCCACGGCCCCCGCTGTGCCCGCAGAAACTGGTGGCCCAGAACATGGACGTGCTGCTGCAGCTGCGCGCCCGCTGCCGCCGGACCGGGGACCTGGGGGCCCTGCTGCCGCGGCTCACATGTGAGACGTGTACATGTGTGTGCGTGTACGTGTACATGTGTGTGCGTGTACATGTGTGTGTGTGTACATGTGTGTGCGTGTACGTGTGTGTGTGTACATGTGTGTGCGTGTACGTGTACATGTGTGTGTGTACATGTGTGTGTGTACATGTGTGTACATGTGTGTGTGTACATGTGTGTGTGTACATGTGTGTGCGTGTACATGTGTGTGTGTGTACATGTGTGTGTGTGTACATGTGTGTGCGTGTACGTGTGTGTGTGTACATGTGTGTGCGTGTACGTGTACATGTGTGTGTGTACATGTGTGTGTGTACATGTGTGTACATGTGTGTGTGTACATGTGTGTGTGTACATGTGTGTGCGTGTACGTGTGCATGTGTGTGCGTGTACGTGTGTGTGCATTTACATGTGTGTACGTGTACATGTGTGTGTGTACGTGTACATGTGTGTGTGTGTACGTGTACATGTGTGTGTGTACGTGTGTGTGTGTACGTGTACATGTGTGTGTGTGTGTGCGTGTACATGTGTGCGTGTACGTGTACATGTGTGTGTGTGCGTGTACGTGTACATGTGTGTACGTGTACATGTGTGTACGTGTACATGTGTGTGTGTGCGTGTACATGTGTGCGTGTACGTGTACATGTGTGTGTGTGCGTGTACATGTGTGTGTGTACATGTACATGTGTGTACGTGTACATGTGTGTGTGCATTTACATGTGTGTGTGTACATGTGTGTGTGTGCATTTACGTGTGTGTGTGTGTACGTGTGTGTGTGTACGTGTACATGTGTGTACGTGTGTGTGTACGTGTACATGTGTGTGTGTACATGTGTGTGTACATGTGTGTGTACATGTGTGTGTACATGTGTGTACATGTGTGTGTACATGTGTGTGTGTACATGTGTGTACGTGTGCATTTACATGTGTGTGCACGTGTGTGTGTACATGTGTGTGTACATGTGTGTACGTGTGCATGTACGTGTGTGTGTACATGTGCATTTACATGTGTGTGCATATGCGTACATACCTGTACATGAGTGTGAATACCTCTACATTACTGTACATATGTGTACATACGTGTACATACATGTGCATAAGTGTACATACATGTACATACCTGTACTACATGTACATATGTGTACATACATCTACATAGGTGTGCATACCTGTACATACTTGTACATACGTGTACGTACATGTACCTACATGTACATATGTGTACGTACATATACATACGTGTACATACATGTTCATACATGTACATACCTGCACTACGTGTACATACGTGTACATCCATCTACATACATGTAAATACATGTGCATATCTGTACATATGTGTGCATACCTGTACGTACTTGTACATACGTGTACGTACTTGTACATATGTGTACGTACATGTACATACGTGTACGTACATATACATACGTGTTCATACATGTACATACGTGTTTATACATGTACATACCTGTTCATACCTGTACATACGTGTTCATTCATGTACATACATGTACGTACGTGTTCATACATGTACATACATGTACATACGTGTACACGCGTGTCCTGCAGCGGCCGAGAACGTCCTGAAGCGCATGATCATCATCGGCGAGATCCTGAGCTTCCGCGCCCTGGCCCAGCAGGGCCTGCGGGAGGTGGGTGCCCCCCACCCATAGGATCCCCACCCCATGGCACCCCCGGCTATGGGTGCCTCAACCACGGGACCCCCAACAATGGGACCCCCACCCCATGGGAGCCCCACTCTATGGGTGCCTCAACCACGGGACCCCCAACAATGGGATCCTCAACTATGGTTGCCTCAACCATGGGACCCCCAACAATGGGACCCCCACCCCATGGGAGCCCCACTCTATGGGTGCCTCAACCACGGGACCCCCAACAATGGGATCCTCAACTATGGTTGCCTCAACCATGGGACCCCCAACCCATGGGACCCCCAACCCATGGGATACCCAACCCATAGGAACTCAACCATGGGACCCCCAACCCATGGGACCCCCAACCCATGGGACCCCCAACACATGGAACCCCCAACCCATGGGACCCCCAACCCATGGGGACCCCCAACCCATAGGACCTCAACCATGGGACCCCCAACCCATGGGACCCCCAACACATGGGACCCCCAACCCATGGGATACCCAACCCATAGGAACTCAACCATGGGACCCCCAACCCATGGGACCCCCAACCCATGGGATACCCAACCCATAGGAACTCAACCATGGGACCCCCAACCCATGGGATACCCAACCCATAGGACCTCAACTATGGGATCCGCAGCCCATGGAGCCCCCAACCCAAGGACCCCCAATCTACAGGACCTCAACCATGAGACCCACACCCATGGGACCTCCAGTGATGGAGCCCTCACCCATGGCAACACCACCCATGGGACCCCGCACCCTATGGAGCATCCCCCTTCCCTCCGCAGGTCCTGTCCCACCACTGCCCCTTCCTGATGGGGCCCCATTGAGAGCCTGATGGATACTGTGACCCCAGAGACCGACATCCAGGTGGGATGGGGATGGGATGGGGTGGGGTGGGAATGGGATAGGGATGGGATGGGGATGGGATGGGATGGGGATGGGGTGGGGATGGGGTTGGGGTGGGGATGGGATGGGGATGGGATGGGGATGGGGAAGGGATGGGGATGGGGATGGGGATGGGATGGGGATGGGGATGGGGATGGGGATGGGGATGGGGTGGGGATGGGGATGGGGTGGGGATGGGATGGGGATGGGATGGGGATGGGGGATGGGATGGGGATGGGGATGGGGATGGGATGGGATGGGGATGGGGTTGGGGTGGGGATGGGGATGGGGATGGGATGGGGATGGGGTTGGGGTGGGGATGGGGATGGGGATGGGATGGGGATGGGGTTGGGGTGGGATGGATGGGGATGGGGATGGGCTGGGTATGGGGTTGGGGTGGGGATGGGATGGATGGGGATGGGGATGGGATGGGGATGGGGTTGGGGTGGGGATGGGGATGGGGATGGGATGGTGGATGGGGTTGGGGTGGGGATGGGATGGGGATGGGATGGGGATGGGGCTGGGGCATGGGATGGATGGGGATGGGATGGGGATGGGATGGGGATGGGATGGGGTGGGGATGGGATGAATATGGGGTTGGGAACAAATGGATGGGGATGGGGATGGGCAGGGATGGGTCCCCAGCCCTGACCCCCACGTCCCCTTTGTCCCCTCAGGTCACCCTGAGCCTCTTCGAGCTGGCCTCGGCTGCGGGCATCCCGTGCGAGGTGGACCCTGCGCTGGTCAATGTCCTCGCTGGCAGAGAGACCGGTACTGATGGGTGCTGCTGGGTGCTCCTGGGTGCTGCTGGGTGCTGCTGGGGGCTGCTGGGTGCTGCTGGGTGCTCCTGGGTGCTGCTGGTGGTGCTGGGTGCTGATGGGTGCTGCTGGGTGCTGATGGGTATCACTGGGTGCTGATGGGTATCACTGGGCACTGCTGGGTACCACTGGGTGCTGCTGGGTACCACTGGTGCTGATGGGTACTGCTGGGTGCTGCTGGGGGCTGCTGGGTACCACTGGGTGCTGCTGGGTGCTGCTGGGGGCTGCTGGGGGCTCCTGGGGGCTGCTGGGTGCTGCTGGGTGCTGATGGGTACCACTGGGTGCTGCTGGGGGCTGCTGGGTGCTGCTGGGGGCTGCTGGGGGGCTGCTGGTGGTGTTGGGTGCTTCTGGGTGCTGATGGGTATCACTGGGTTCTGATGGGTATCACTGGGTGCTGATGGGTACTGCTGGGTGCTGATGGGTACTGCTGGGTATCATTGGGTACTGCTGGGTACCACTGGGTGCTGATGGGTGCCGCTGGGTACCACTGGGTATCACTGGGTGCCACTGGGGTGCCACTGGGCATCACTGGGTACCTCTGGGTACCACTGGGTGCCACCGGGGGTGCCGCCCCCGTGTCCCCCCCATGTCCCCATGGGGGGTCCCGCTGTCCCCCCCCCAGCTGGTTCCTCCCAGAGGAGCAGTCCAAGCTCTGCTCCCTGCTCCTGCTCTTCGTGGCCGTGGCCCTGCCCCTGCTGGCCTCCGACCCCACATCCGCCTGCAGCCCCGAGCTGGACGGTGAGGGCAGGGCCGGCCCCACGGCCCCATGGGGCACCCCCCGCTCACCGCTGCCCCGGAGCTTCCCTTGGCCCCAGCCTGGCCCCCCGCTCACCCTGAGAGCCCAGCGCCCCATGGCCCAGCATCCCCCATGGCCCAACGTCCCCACATCCCCCATCCCACATCCCCATATCCACATCCCCATCTCCCACAATTCCTACACCCCCCATCCCATATCCCCCATCGCCATCTCCCCCCATCCCATATCCCCCATCCCCATCTCCCCCATCGCCATCTCCCCCCATCTCCCATCCCCTCATCCCCATCCCATCCCCATCTCCCATCCCCATATCCCAAATCCCATATCCCGCATCCCATCCCCCACTCCCCTCTCCCCCATCCCATCTCCCCTCCCATCTCCCCCATCCCCATCTCCCACATTCCCATCTCCCCCCATCCCATCTCCCCACATCCCCCATCCCCATCTCCCCCATCCCCATCTCCCCCCATCCCCACACCCCACATCCCCCATCCCCACCCCCACCACATCTCCCCCATCCCCACACCCCCCATCCCATATCCTCCATCCCCACATCCCCCATCCCATCCCCACCCCCCCCACCCCATCTCCCCCCATCCCCACACCCCCCATCCCATCCCCACCCCCCCACCCCATCTCCCCCCATCCCCACACCCCCCATCCCATATCCCCACACCCCCCATCCCATCCCCATCCCCACCCATCTCCCCCCATGTCCCCCCCAGGCTCCCCCAACAACCTGCACTGCCTGGCCACGGCCATCGCCCAGCTCTCGGCCGCCCTCTTCACCCTCCACAAGGAGGACATCGAGGGGCACCTCAAGGACTTCCTGCTGGTGAGAGCACCCATGGGTGCTGCAGCACCCACCCCGGGCACCCATGGGGTCCCTGTCACCTGGAGCTGATCTGGGTCCACCCTTAGGTGGCCTCCAGCAGCCTCCTGCAGCTGGGGCAGGACACGGAGGGGGTGCGGGCGCGGAGCCGCGACTCCATCGCCCTGCTCCTGCAACTGGTGGGTGCCAATGGGTGCTAAGGGGTGGTAATGGGTGTTAATGGGGTCAATGGGTGCTAAGGGGTGCTAATGGGTGTTAATGGGGGTCAATGGGTGCTAAGGGGTGGTAATGGGTGTTAATGGGTGCCAATGGGTGCTAAGGGGTGGTAATGGGTGTTAATGGGTGCCAATGGGTGCTAAGGGGTGGTAATGGGTGTTAATGGGTGCCAATGGGTGCTAAGGGGGTGGTAATGGGTGTTAATGGGGGTCAATGGGTGCTAAGGGGTGGTAATGGGTGTTAATGGGTGCCAATGGGTGCTAAGGGGTGGTAATGGGTGTTAATGGGTGCCAATGGGTGTTAAGGGGTGGTAATGGGTGTTAATGGGTGTCAATGGGTGTTAAGGGGTGGTAATGGGTGTTAATGGGTGCCAATGGGTGCTAAGGGGTGGTAATGGGTGTTAATGGGTGCCAATGGGTGCTAAGGGGTGGTAATGGGTGTTAATGGGGGTCAATGGGTGCTAAGGGGAGGTAATGGGTGTTAATGGGTGCCAATGGGTGCTAAGGGGTGGTAATGGGTGTTAATGGGTGCCAATGGGTGCTAAGGGGTGGTAATGGGTGTTAATGGGGGTCAATGGGTGCTAAGGGGAGGTAATGGGTGTTAATGGGTGCCAATGGGTGCTAAGGGGTGGTAATGGGTGTTAATGGGGGTCAATGGGTGCTAAGGGGTGGTAATGGGTGTTAATGGGGGTCAATGGGTGCTAAGGGGTGGTAATGGGTGTCCAATGGGTGCTAAGGGGTGGTAATGGGTGTTAATGGGGGTCAATGGGTGCTCATGGGCGTTAATGGGTCTCAGTGGGTGCTAATGGTGTCAATGGGTGTCAACGGGTGCTAATGGGTGTCAATGGGGTGCTAATGGGTGTTAATGGGTGTCAATGGGTGCTAAGGGGTGCTAATGGGTGTCAATGGGTGCTCATGGGTGTCAATGGGTCCTCATGGGTGTTAATGGGTGTCAATGGGTGCTAATGGGCGTTAATGGGTGTCAACGGGTGCTAATGGGTCTCAATGGGTGCTAATGGGTGTTAATGGGTGTCAATGGGTGCTAATGGGCGTTAATGGGTGTCAATGGGTGCTGACGGGTGCCAATGGGTGCTGATGGGTGCCAATGGGTGCCGATGGGTGCTGACGGGTGCCAATGGGTGTTGACGGGTACCAATGGGTGCCGATGGGTGCTGACGGGTGCCAATGGGTGCCGATGGGTGCTGATGGGTGCCAATGGGTGCTGACAGGTACCAATGGGTGCTGATGGGTGCTGATGGGTTCCAATGGGTGCTGACGGGTGCAATGGGTTCCTCTTGGGCCTGGGGCAGCGATGGTGGCTCCGGCTGCAGCCCCCGGCGCCCCATAGCGGGTGTGGGGGTCCCTGCAGGGGGGCGCTGAGCCCGGGGGGGTTTCTCTGTGTCCCTGCCCCAGCTGGAGGCGGAGTCGCCCTTGGTGAGCCCGCGCCTGCTGCGCTCCTGCGTCCCGGGAGCGCTCCTGCGCAGCGCCCGCGGCCGGGGCGACAGGGACACCCCGCGATGAGGCGGCACCCAAGGACCTGCGATGGCACCCAAGGACCTGCGATGGCACCCAAGGACCTGCGATGGCACCCAAGGACCTGCGACGGCACCCAAGGACCTGCAATGGCACCCAAGGACCTGCGATGGAACCCAAGGACCTGCAACGGCACCCAAGGACCTGCGATGGCACCCAAGGACCTGCGATGGCACCCAAGGACCTGCGATGGCACCCAAGGACCGGCAATGGCACCCAAGGACCTGCGATGGCACCCAAGGACCTGCGATGGCACCCAAGGACCTGCGACGGCACCCAAGGACCTGCGATGGCACCCAAGGACCTGCGACGGCACCCAAAGACCTGCGATGGCACCCAAAGACCTGCGATGGCACCCAAGGACCTGCAACAGCACCCAAGGACCTGCAATGGCACCCAAAGACCTGCGATGGCACCCAAGGACCTGCGACGGCACCCAAGGACCTGCGACGGCACCCAAGGACCTGCGATGGCACCCAAGGACCTGCGATGGCACCCAAGTACCTGCGATGGCACCCAAGTACCTGCGAGGGCACCCAAGGACCGGCAATGGCACCCAAGGACCTGCGAGGGCACCCAAGTACCTGCGATGGCACCCAAGGACCGGCAATGGCACCCAAAGACCTGCGATGGCACCCAAGGACCTGCAATGGCACCCAAAGACCTGCGATGGCACCCAAGGACCTGCGATGGCACCCAAAGACCTGCGATGGCACCCAAAGACCTGCGATGGCACCCAAAGACCTGCGATGGCACCCAAGGACCTGCGATGGCACCCAAGGACCTGCGATGGCACCCAAAGACCTGCGATGGCACCCAAGGACCGGCCATGGCACCCAAGGACCTGCAACAGCACCCAAGGACCTGCGATGGCACCCAAGGACCTGCGATGGCACCCAAGGACCTGCGACGGCACCCAAGGACCTGCGATGGCACCCAAAGACCTGCGATGGCACCCAAGGACCTGCGACAGCACCCAAGGACCTGCGATGGCACCCAAGGACCTGCGACGGCACCCAAGGACCTGCGATGGCACCCAAGGACCTGCGAGGGCACCCAAGTACCTGCAACAGCACCCAAGTACCTGCGATGGCACCCAAGGACGTGCGACGGCACCCAAAGACCTGCGATGGCACCCAAGGACCTGCGATGGCACCCAAGGACCTGCGATGGCACCCACGGACCTGCGATGGCACCCAAAGACCTGCGATGGCACCCAAGGACCTGCAACAGCACCCAAAGACCTGCGATGGCACCCAAAGACCTGCGATGGCACCCAAGGACCTGCGATGGCACCCAAAGACCTGCGATGGCACCCAAGGACCTGCGATGGCACCCAAGGACCTGCGATGGCACCCAAGTACCTGCAATGGCACCCAAGGACCTGCGATGGCACCCAAGGACCTGCGATGGCACCCAAAGACCTGCGATGGCACCCAAGGACCTGCGACGGCACCCAAAGACCTGCGATGGCACCCAAGGACCTGCGATGGCACCCAAGGACCTGCGAGGGCACCCAAGGACCTGCGATGGCACCCAAGGACCTGCGATGGCACCCAAAGACCTGCGATGGCACCCAAAGACCTGCGATGGCACCCAAGGACCTGCAACAGCACCCAAGGACCTGCGATGGCACCCAAGGACGTGCGACGGCACCCAAGGACCTGCGATGGCACCCAAGGACCTGCAACAGCACCCAAGGACCTGCGATGGAACCCAAAGACCTGCGATGTCACCCAAAGACCTGCGATGGCACCCAAGGACCTGCGATGGCACCCAAGGACCTGCGACGGCACCCAAGGACCTGCGATGGCACCCAAGGACCTGCGATGGCACCCAAGTACCTGCGATGGCACCCAAAGACCTGCGATGGCACCCAAGGACCTGCGATGGCACCCAAGGACCTGCGATGGCACCCAAGGACCTGCGACGGCACCCAAGGACCTGCGATGGCACCCAAGGACCTGCGATGGCACCCAAGGACCTGCGACGGCACCCAAGGACCTGCGATGGCACCCAAGGACCTGCGATGGCACCCAAAGACCTGCGATGGCACCCACACTGCACCCAGTCTGCACCCAAACCCCATCAATTGCACCCAAATAAATGCAACTACACCCAAACCCCTTCATCTGCACCCAAACTGCACCCAGATGCCTGCGACTGCACCCAAACCCCACTGAATGACACCCAAACCTTCCCAACAGCACCCAAACCCCATTGAATGCCACCCAAACCCTTCCAACAGCACCCAAACCCCATTGAATGCCACTCAAACCCTTCCAACAGCACCCAAACCCCATTGAATGCCACCCAAACCCTTCCCAACAGCACCCAAACCCCATTGAATGCCACCCAAACCTTCCCAGCAGCACCCAAACCCCATTGAATGCTACCCAAACCTTCCCAGCAGCACCCAAACCCCATTGAATGCCACTCAAACCCTTCCAACAGCACCCAAACCCCATTGAATGCCACCCAAACCCTTCCAACAGCACCCAAACCCCATTGAATGCCACCCAAACCCTTCCAAACCCCACTGAATGCCGCCCAAACCCTTCCCAACAGCACCCAAACCCCATTGAATGCCACCCAAACCCTTCCAACAGCACCCAACACCCAACAAGCGCACCCAAACCCCCCCAAGGTCACCCCAAAACCCCTCTCCAGTCTGTGTCCCGCTTGGGGGGTGGGAATAACATCCCTTGGGGTCGCATCCGGAAGGGATTGGAGCTGGTGCTGGGTCCTCGAGGCGCTGATGGGGCCATTCCCGACCCCTTTTGGGGCCATTCCCGATCCCTTTTGGGACCATTCCCGAGCCCTTTTGGGGCCATTCCTGACCCCTTTTGGGACCATTCCCGACCCCTTTTGGGGCCATTCCTGACCCCTTTTGGGACCATTCCCGATCCCTTTTGGGGCCATTCCTGACCCCTTTTGGGACCATTCCTGACCCCTTTTGGGGCCATTCCCGAGCCCTTTTGGGACCATCCCCGACCCCTTTTGGGGCCATTCCCAACCCCTTTTGGGACCATTCCTGACCCCTTTTGGGACCATTCCCGAGCCCTTTTGGGACCATTCCTGACCCCTTTTGGGACCATTCCTGACCCCTTTTGGGGCCATTCCCGAGCCCTTTTGGGACCATTCCCGATCCCTTTTGGGCCATTCCTGACCCCTTTTGGGACCATTCCCGCCCCCTTTTGGGGCCATTCCCGACCCCTTTTGGGACCATTCCCAACCCCTTTTGGGACCATTCCTGACCCCTTTTGGGGCCATTCCCGCCCCCTTTTGGGGCCATTCCCGATCCCTTTTGGGGCCATTCCTGACCCCTTTTGGGACCATTCCTGACCCCTTTTGGGGCCATTCCCGAGCCCTTTTGGGACCATTCCCGAGCCCTTTTGGGACCATTCCTGACCCCTTTTGGGGCCATTCCCGAGCCCTTTTGGGACCATTCCTGACCCCTT